CATTAAGAATTTTTGAATAATTTCAGCTCTTAGATAGTGATTCACATTTCCTAGTCTAATACTAGGCTGCTGGAGTTTCAGTTCATTTACTGAGTTGTTTTCAAGTGAATTTAGACTCATATAAGCTAATTTTGGTCAAGTGTTGGTCTATTCAAGTTGTGTTGATTGATTTGGTACTATTCAAGCTGTTTCGACTGGGTTTTGTGTTTGATTTGGTGTGAAATTTCTTCTGAGTCATTTGACATCATCTACTGGGTTGATTCACTACTGATTTCGCTGCTGGAAATTGTTACTGCTGCTGATTCTCTTCTTCTGTTCATTTCGACTTGATTTTCAGGTACACATTTGAATTTGCCCTGATGTAACCTTCAGCTGGAATGAAATGAAGTCATATTTCAAATTTTTGCTCCTGTTATAACATGACTGGAATGTGTAATAATAGTTGTCACACTAGTTGGATCATGATGTAATGATAGTTGACTATAGGTTAGATTTGTAGTTTACTTTCGACTAGAATGTGTTTAATTGGACTGTAATTGGACTGTGGACTGTTATTTGATCGACTACGGATGCTTAAGTTAGTATATTGATTAAAATGAAGTTAGTTGTCACATTAGTTGCTAGACTAGAATAGGAGTCAGTTGTTTTCATTGTTCCATTTATACTTGTTCGTAGGACTTACTGGATTGTTAAACTAGTCTGGCCAGAATTGTTAGACTGTGTGCGATTAGTGCTAAATATTAGCTCGTACCAACGGCTAGTTCAGGCAATATTACATCAGCGGAATTTAGAGGGAAAGTGTAAATAGTGCTGGAATTTGAGCTAGGAAACAATTTAAAACTGGAAAATTATTCACTTAATGTTGTTTTGTTGTGTAGTTCAATATTCGAAGTAGGACTACTAGCTGAAACAAGAAATAACGTTTTCTCATTAATGAGTTGATATGAGTTGTGATTAAAATCATTGTATTCAGTTTGTTTTCCACCTAGTGGTATTTAGGAATTCACCAGCAGTTAAATAAGCGAAATAATTTGAGTATTAATTTGGGAAGCTGAGTGATCAGTATTTCATCAATTTGAGTAGCACCTTGAATAATTTGGAAAGGTTCAGTGATTATTTGTCTAATTCGAATTGAGGTTGGGCCTGGTTAATGACCAGAAATAGACAGTCCATTTCAGGGCAGTTTGTGCCTCAGTGTTTTGCAGACAGCCTAGATCCTGTCCAGGTCATATGTCCACTTGGACCTTGGCCTAACGCATGGCTGGCCTGCCCTTGTGCACTTGGGCCTTTAGATGTAAGCAGGCTGTGTTCAAGGCCCAAGTTGGATGAAGATTTGAATTTATATGAGCTCATAGGCCCTAAATATAGTAGCTTTTAAACAATAATAAATAATTACGGTTTCTTCTTTTATTATTAGAGACAAAGTAAAATAGAAAATCATAGTTACATTAGGATTGGCCTCAAAATAAAAATGAGACGAGCCTCGCCGAACAAAACATATATTGCGGGGCCTTCAATAAATGGTTGAATTAAAATACCTAGACTTCGGGATGGGTCGTTTAGCGAATTTCACGGCCCTCCCCAAAGATAATAACGCGTTAGTCACTTTAAGCGCGTTTTTAATAATCTTACTTTGTTAAATACGGGTACACATTTATGTGACCCAAATCCAATTCTCAACAAAGTCGAAACATGTCAAAAATTGCGGGTGCATTTATGTGACGCGATTCGAGATATGTTTTCACGATGTTGCAATTCTCTCAAAATAATAATAATAAAAGCGGTTCAAAGTTAAAAGCACATAGATTAAAACATGTACTAAAATCAAATAAATAAGCCAAATGTGACAGTTGAGCGACCGTGCTAGAACCACGGAACTCGGGAATGCGTAACACCTTCTCCCGGGTTAACAGAATTCCTTACTCAGGTTTCTGGCTCGCGGACTGTTAAACAGAGTCATAATTTCCTCGGTTCGGGATTCAACCGGTGACTTGGGACACCATTAATCTCCCAAGTGGCGACTCTGAAATCTTAATAATAAATCCCTTTCCGATTGTCCTTTAAGTGGAAAAACTCCTTTACACCCCTGCGGGTGTAGGTAAAAAGGAGGTGTGACACCCGGGACCTCAACCAAAATACGAACAAGTCATATACCACTATCCAAACTTATACCAATCCTTAAAACATCTAAAACAACATCGAAACATCGAATTAACATCGGATTCAAGCCTAAGAACTTCAAAAACTCTCGAATTACGCTTTCGATCAAAAAGTCTATCAAACCTCGTCCGAATGACCTGAAATTTTGCACACACGTCACATTCAACACTACGGAGCTACTCCAACTTACAGAATTCCATTCCGACCCCGATATCAAAATCTCACTATCGAACCGGAAACTTCAAAAATTCAACTTTCGGCATTTCAATCCTAAATAAGCTACGGACCTCTAAAACACAATCCGAACACGCTCCTAAAACCCGAAATCACCCCACGGAGCTAACGGAACCAACGGAATTCCATTCCGAGGCCGTCTTCACACTGTTCTGACTACGGTCCAAAGTCTAAAACTTAAACTCTCATTTAGGGACTAAGTGTCCCAAAACTCTCCGAAACTCCAAATAAATCCTCCTGGCAACTCACAATAGCAGAAACAAACACGGGGAATGCAGTTAATAGGGGATCAGGGCATAAATTCTCAAAACGACCGGCCGGGTCGTTACATCCTCCCACACTTGAACATTCGTTCGTCCTCGAACGAGCATAGAGACATACCTGAATTAGTGAAAAGATGAGGGTAACGGCTGCGCATATCCTGCTCGGTCTCCCAAGTCGCCTCCTCGACCGGCTGACCCCGCCACCGAACCTTCGCTGATGCAATGTTCTTTGATCTCAGCTTTTGAATCTGCCTGTCCAATATCGCCACTAGCTCCTCAACATAAGATACATCCTTGTCCAACTGGACTGAACTGAAATCCAACACGTGCGATGGATCACCGCGATACCTCCGGAGCATCGAAACATGAAATGCCGGATGAACTCCTGCCAAGCTGGGAGGTAAGGCAACCTCCCCAACACGCCTCAGTATCTCAAAAGGGCCAATAAACCTCGGACTCAACTTCCCCTTCTTCCTAAATCTCATAACGCCCTTCATAGGCGAAACCCGAAGCAGAACCCGCTCTCCAACCATGTAGGAAACATCACGAACCTTCCGGTCCGCGTAACTCTTCTGTCTGGACTGGGCTGTGTGAAGTCTATCCTGAATCACCTTAACCTTTTCCAAAGCATCCTGAACCAAGTCTGTGCCCAAAAATCTAGCCTCACCCGGCTCAAACCAACCCACCGGGGATCTACACCGCCTACCATACAAAGACTCATACGGTGCCATCTGAATGCTGGACTGATAACTGTTGTTGTAGGAAAACTCCGCCAATGGCAAGAACTGATCCCAAGACCCTCCAAACTCAATCACACACGCACGAAGCATATCCTCAAGAATCTGAATAGTGCGCTCGGACTGTCCGTCCGTCTGAGGGTGAAATGCTGTGCTCAACTCCACCCGAGTGCCTAACTCGTGCTGTATGGCCCTCCAGAACCGTGATGTGAACTGAGTACCCCTATCTGAAATGATGGAAACTGGAATATCATGCAGACGGACAAGCTCCCGGATATAAATCTCCTCCAACCGCTCCGAAGAATAGGTAGTACTCACAGGAATGAAATGCGCGGACTTGGTCAGCCGATCCACAATCACCCAAATGGCATCGAACTTCCTCGAAGTCCGTGGGAGCCCAACTAAAAAGTCCATGGCGATCCGCTCCCACTTCCACTCCGGAATCTCTATCCGCTGAAGCAATCCACCCGGTCTCTGGTGCTCATACTTCACCTGCTGACAATTAAGGCACCGCGCTACAAACCCAACTATATCTTTCTTCATCCGCCTCCACCAATAGTGCTATCTCAAATCCTGGTACATCTTCGCGGCACCCGGATGGATGGAGTACCGCGAACTGTGGGCCTCCTCTAGAATCAACTCTCGAAGCCCATCAACATTGGGTACACAAACTCGACCCTTCATCCTCAATACCCCGTCATCACCAATGGTCACATCTCTGGCATCGCCATGCAAAACCTTGTCCTTGAGGACAAGTAAATGAGGGTCATCAAACTAGCGCTCCCGGATACGATCAAACAAGGAAGACCGAGAGACCACGCAAGCTAGAACCCGACTGGGCTCTGAAAGATCCAATCTCACAAACTGGCTGGCTAAGGCCTGAACATCCATCGTCATGGGCCTCTCTGCTGCTGGTAAATAAGCTAAACTCCCCAAACTCTCTGCTCGGCGGCTCAAAGCATCGGCCAACACATTGGCCTTGCTCAGGTGATACAAAATAGTGATATCATAGTCCTTCAGCAGCTCTAGCCATCTCCTCTGACACAAATTAAGGTCCTTCTGCTTGAACAGATGCTGCAAACTCCGGTGATCAGTATAAATCTCACAAGGCACACCGTACGAAATAATGACGCCAGATCTTCAAGGCGTGAACAATAGCAGCTAACTCGAGATCATGGACAGGATAATTCTTCTCATGAACCTTCAACTGTCTGGACGCGTAGGCAATCACCCTACCGCCCTGCATCAATACCTCTCCAAGGCCAACCCTCGAGGCATCACAATAGACAGTATAAGACTCCGAACAGGTAGGCAATATCAAAACTGGGGCTGTAGTCAAAGCTGTCTTGAGCTCCTGAAAGCTCTCCTCACACTCTTCCGTCCACTGGAACGGAGCACCCTTCTGGGTCAGCCTGGTCATAGGTGCTGCAATAGATGAAAACCCCTGAACAAATCGACGGTAATAACCCGCCAAGCCAAGAAAACTGCGGATCTCTGTAGCTAAGGATGGTCTGGGCCAACTCTCCACTGCTTCCACTTTCTTCGGATCCACCCTTATCCCTTCACTAGATACCACGTGACCCAAGAATGCCACGGAATCCAACCAGAACTCACATTTCGAGAACTTAGCATATAATTTCTTCTCCCTCAAAGTATGGAGCACTGTCCTCAGGTGCTGCTCATGATCTTCCCGACTTCGGGAATATACCCGAATGTCATCAATAAAGACAATAACGAATGAGTCAAGATATGGCTGGAATACACTGTACATCAAATGCATGAAGGCTGCTGGGGCATTAGTCAGCCCAAATGACATAACAAGGAACTCGTAATGACCATACCGAGTCCTGAAGGCAGTCTTCGGGATATCTGGCTCCCGAATCTTCAACTGATGATAGCCTGAACGCAAGTCAATCTTAGAAAAAACACAAGCACCCTGTAACTGATCAAACAGGTCATCAATACGGGGCAAAGGATAATGGTTCTTCATTGTAACCTTGTTCAATTGGCGATAATCAATGCACATACGCACAGAACCATCCTTCTTCTTCACAAATAAGACCGGAGCACCCCAAGGTGATACAGTGGGCCGAATGAAACCCTTATCAAGTAATTCTTGTAACTGCTCCTTCAACTCCTTCAACTCAGGAGGAGCCATGCGGTACGGAGGAATAGAAATGGGCTGAGTGCCCGACAGCAAATTAATGCCAAAATCAATATCTCTATCGGGCGACATGCCTAGAAGGTCGGCTGGAAACACATCAGGAAAATCCCGTACTACTGGGAGTGAATCAACTGCAGGGGTATCAATACTGACATCTCTCACATAAGCTAGATACGCGTCACACTCCTTCTCAACCATACGCTGAGCTTTAAGGAATGAAATAACTCTACTAGAAGTATGATCTAAGGTACCCCTCCACTCTACTCGCGGTACACCTGGCATAGCTAGCGTCACGATTTTTGCGTGACAATCAAGAATAGCATAATAGGGCAAAAACCAGTCCATGCCCAGAATAACATCAAAGTATACCATGCTGAGCAATAACAAATCGGCTATGGTCTCAAAACCACTAAGAGCAATCAAACACGACCGATAAACACGATCCACAATAAGAGAATCTCCAACAGGCGTAGAAACATAAACAGGAGAACTCAAAGAATCCCGAGATACTCCCAAATACGGGGCAAAATAAGATGACATATAAGAATAAGTGGAGCCTGGATCGAATAGAACCGATGCAACTCTATGACAGACCAGGATAATACCTGTGATGACAGAATCGGAGGCGACAACCTTAGTATGGGCAGGGAGGGCATAGTATCTGGCCTGGCCTCCCCCTCGAGGGTGACCTTTACCTCCCCGACCTCCACCTCTAGCTGGCTGAGCAGGTGGGATAGCAACTGGTGCTGTGATCATAGCCTGAGAACCCTACGGGCAATACTATGGCTGAGAAGTCTGTGAAGGTGCACCCCTCCTAAGTCTGGGGAAATCCCTCACCATATGATGTGTGTCACCACACTCTAAACAAGCTCTGGGAAGACGTGGCGGCTGTGACTGGCTCGGGCCAGGTCTGCTAGACTGACCACCGGAAGCACCCCGTGCAGGAGGCGCACTAGATACTGGAGGTGCATAATAAGGCTCCTGAGGCCTAGGTGGAGCTGGAATACCACTGGCTGCTGGAAGAGCTGAATGAACAGGGCGACTCATATAACCCTTACCATGACGACCTGCAGCTGGGGCACGAGCACCAGAATAATGGCCCGAGTCTCGAGACCTCTTGGCCTCCCTCTCCTCTCTATCCCTAGCATGCATACCCTCAATCCTCCTAGCAATGATCACCACCTGCTATTAAGAAATATCCATCTCCAACTCACGAGCCATGCTAGACCTGATGCTGGGAATAAGCCCCTCAATAAACCGGCAAACCTTCTCGCGAACAGTAGAAACCAAAGCTGGTGCATGTCTAGCCAAGTCGGTGAAACGGACAACATACTCCGAGACAGTCATAGTACCCTAGCGCAACCGCTCAAACTCTGCGCGCCAAGCGTCCCTGAGACTCTGGGGAACATACTCTTTGGTGAACATATCTGAAAACTAAGCCCAAGTCAGGGAAGCTGCCTCATCCGGACTGTCTAACTCATAAACTGCGCCAGAGTCTCCTGGAGTGCTAGAGTATTAGTAGCAAATGTATCAGGTGTCTGGACTCCGGCTGGAACTGCTGGTGGCACCGCGGTGGCAGCTCGCGCGGGTGCTCTGGCTGCACCACCATCGCGTCCTCGGCCTCTACCCCGACCCCGACCTCTGACGGCTCCAGTAGAGGGCACGAGTGCCTGATCATCTCGAGTAGCACGTGTCCTCACCATCTGTGAGAGAATAGAAGACAGAAGTTTAGAATTGTGATGTCAAAATCTCGCACGACAAGGAAATCAACTGAAGTGGAATTTTCCTAACAGTTACATAGCCTCTCATAGATTAGTACAGACGTCTCCGTACCGATCAACGAGACTCTAAATAACCGGCTTGTGATTCATGACTCCTATGAACTTAGTGCTCTGATACCAACTTGTCACGACCCCAGTTCGCCCTCCATGAACTATCGTGATGGCACCTAGTCTCTACGACTAGGTAAGCCTAACAAATGTGCAAAAGAAACAATTGCGGAAAGAAAGTAATTAAAAACCGAGATAACAAAGTTAAACAGTGTTTAAGATGCCGCCTGACATATAACTGTACAAGAATCTCAACCTATCACTCCCAAAATCCGGAACCCCATGAATCACAAGCTAAAAGATTACATAATAAGCTCTAACTCCAGAAATGTCTACCAACAAGGGAAATATAGAAAAGGCTATACTAGTACTGAGAATAGAAAGGGACTCTTCGGTCTGCGGACGCGGCAGATATACCTCGGAGTCTCTACAAAGCGCCTCGCCTCAAGCATGATAAGACTGAGTGGAAGTACCTGGATCTGCACATGAAAAACATACGCAGGAAGGGCATGAGTACACCACAGCGGTACTCAGTAAGTGCCAAGCCTAACCTCGGTCGGGTAGTGACGAGGAAGGTCAGGTCCCTACTGAGGTTAAAGGAAATACAAGATATAACAGTGTAGAATAAGACATTATAGTTAAGTGAAACAGTAAGAAGTAGCACAGGATAGAAGAACAACAGCAACTTTAACAGAGACAAAATAATCACGGAAAATAAATACAGCTCAATGCAGAGATAACAACCGGGGGATCTCCCAGGATACCGTCCTGTAGTCCCCAAATATAAATATCCAGCGGATCTCCCGGGATACCGTCCCGTAGTCCAACTCATAGTGCGCGGGGATCTACCGGACTCCCGATCCGTAGTCCCAAATGTAAATACTCAGTACTGGGGGAATCAACCGGGTGCAGTCCCGTAGTTCCAATGTAAAAGTGTAAGGGGATCTCCCGGAATACAATTCCGTAATCCCAAAGTAAACATACACGGGGATCTCCCGGGATACCGTCCCGTAGTCCCAAAGTAAAACACACAGCAACAACACGAAGAATACATAATTCAATTCAAATTCCATGCCGATGTAAAACAAGTATTTTTAACCTAGTATGCTGCACATAATTCAAATAAGACAGTGGAGCAAATAAGCAATTAAGTCAATTAAGCATGCTTCCCTAAGCTAACAACAGGCTTAAATTGCAAGTAGTATAAACAGGAAAAAGAAATACAATTCTAAGGACTTAATGAAAACCGGATTTTTCAACAATTAGCACAAGTACGCACTCATCACCTCACGTACAAGGCATTTCAAACATCAATAATACCAAATCCTAAGGGGAGTTTTCCCCCACACAAAGTTAGGCAAGCCACTTACCTCGAACCGGCTCAAAATCAACCTGAAACCACGTTCTTGCCACGAGTACTTGACTCCAAATGGTCCGAATCTATTCAATTCAATTGCATAATGTAAATAACACTTCAAGTAACTGATTCTACAAATAAATTCTAAGCTAATACGCGAAATTAGGTAAAATGACCAAAACGCCCTCCGGACCCACATCTCGGAATCGGGTAAAATTTACATTTTCAGAATCCTCATACTCTCACGAGTCTAACCATACCAAAACTATCCAAATCCAATGTAAAATTCCTGATTAAAACTCGAAATTTAGGTCTAACAACTTTCTCCAAATTTTTCCCCGATTTTCATCTCAAATCCGAAATTAAATGATAAAATTAACAATAGATTAATGGAATACAACTAGAAAGGGATAAGGAATTGTTACCCACTGATTTCCTCTTCAAAAATCTCTCAAAATCGCCCTCTCCCGAGCTCCCAATCAATTTTTCTAACTTTTGGATCAAACCCTCGTTCTGCCCCTTTTTCTGACCAGGGATTTTGCACCTGCGGTACAATTTACGCATCTGCGAGACCGCTTCTGCGGTCAAAGGACCGCTTCTACGATTTCCACTTAATTTCCCTTGGGCCGCACCTGCGCTTCTTCTACCGCACCTGCGCTCACGCAGGTGCGCTCAAACCACCGCACCTGCGAAAACTGGCCTTCCCTCACGTGGCCGCATCTGTGGTCTCTCAGCCGCTTCTGTGGCAACGCACCTGCGGTCCCCAAGCCGCAGGTGCGGTTATGACAACAATGGAAAAGCTTCAGCTGCCAAACCAAATTCCTAACTCTTCCGGTAACCATCCGAAATCATCCCGAGGCCCCCGGAACGTCAACCAAAAGCACGAACAAGTCTTATGCCACTATCCAAACTTATACCAATCCTTAAAACATCTAAAACAACATCAAATTAACATTGGATTCAAGCCTAAGAACTTCAAAAACTCTCGAATTACGCTTTTGATCAAAAAGTCTATCATACCTCATCCGAATGACCTGAAATTTTGCACACACGTCACATTCTACACTGCGGAGCTACTCCAACTTCCGAAATTCCATTCCGACCCCGATATCAAAATCTCACTATCGAACCGGAAACTTCAAAAATTCAACTTTCGGCATTTCAAGCCTAAATAAGCTACAGACCTCCAAAACACAATCCGAACACGCTCCTAAACCCGAAATCACCCCATAGAACTAACGGAACCAACAGAATTCCATTCCGAGGCCGTCTTCACACTATTTCGACTACTGTCCAAAGTCTAAAACTTAAACTCTCATTTAGGGACTAAGTGTCCCAAAACTATCCGAAACTCCAAACAAATCCTCCCGGCAACTCACAATAGCAGAAACAAACACGGGGAATGCAGTTAATAGGGGTTCGAGGCGTAAATTCTCAAAACGACCGGCCGGGTCATTACAAATCTCCCTCTCTATAATTCCTATGTCATATTCCTAATGTTGAGGTTCATATGCTACACCTACGATGTCAATAATACTACAAATAATTCAAGTTACAACATGTATAAAGTTTTAATGTGTTCCTTAAGTTCCTAAAATTGATTAATCCTTCCACTGCTCTTCCTTAAATGTAGTAGTCACCTAAGTCTTATTTTACATGCTCACATGATATACATG